TGATTTATGCTACCTTAAGCTGCACTTTATGAAATAAAGCAACAGGTAACAGTCACCTGTTGTCGATCCACAAACATGATGGTCTTTGGGTAGAGCACTGCTCATCATTTGCATGGTACAGCCCAGGGGAATGGCACAAGGGGTGAAGCACAGGCCAGGATAGAGCCCCAAGGGCCCTCCTTCAGGCCTGCACTGCTGGATATGGGCTCTACTGAGACTGTACGCCTGCTGCCCGAAATGAGCGCTAGTGCACTGGGGATGAAGCTGGAGCCACCTGCACATTTCCGTTTGACACACTACCTGGAGCTGCCGAAGGGGATGGAAATTTGGCAGCTAGGGAGCAGCAACTGCTACTGCCATGCCATCTGGTTTCTGGACCCACAGGAGCCCCAAATAGTAGGGCTCTGCAGGCTGGCACTGGAGCAGGTGGGGGTGAAGCACCCTGCCCAACCACCCCACTTCCGGGCAACTACTCAGATGCCTCCCACGGTGACAGGGAGCAGTAGGGGAGGAAGGGAAACAACACAGGGGCAAATACATCTCCTTGACAGGACAACAAAGCCACATATCATGCAGGACAAAAGTCTGTTCTCGGATGAGCGTAGGACACTGGGATGTAAAAGACGATGTGAGATTTTCCTTTGAAATAGGACTCTGAGGTACTCAGGGGAATAAACTTGCACCCTCTACCTCCCCTGCACAAAGTGAAGTCTCTTTTCTACCCAGAACTTTCCCAATTTCTGAATTGTCTTTGGCCTGATGAAAGACATGGGCACCCCAAAGCTTGTAAAGAAAGACCTTTTTTTTTTTGTGGCACTATTTCGCTGGTCTAATAAAAGTTCCCGCCTCCAATCCAGGGGCTTCGTTTAAACAATGTTGTCAGAGAAGTGCTCGCAGACCCCTGTGACGAGCCAGCCGCAGCGGCGACACCGTTACCTGGTGCAGCAGCCCGGGCGGGCCCTTGCCACGGTGGAAGCGGCGACGGGCAGGCCCGGGTTGGAGCACAGCGTCACGTTGTTCGAGGCCCCGGGCGAGGGGGGCGAGGTGCCGGGGAATGTCTCGTCGCCGGAGCCGTCCATGGCGCCGCAGCTGGAAACCCAACGTGAGGAACGAGCCTCAGGCCCACGACACCCCCAGCACGAGGAGCGGCCGCGGGCAGAGCAGGGCAGTGCCGGGCAACTTACGGGGAGCCCCCGCGGCCTGGCCCCGCCCCTGCTGTGCGGAGCCGGGGGGTGGGGGCAGCGCCCGCTTCACCCTGGGCGCGGGAAGGCTCCAAGCGACCCGCCCCACTCAACCGCCACTTCCAACCGCTGCGTAAGTCCACATTCACACACTCCCCGCCGGGCTTGTGCTCGCAGTTCCCGACCTAGTGCCACCGCCTGCACCAGACACTCGGCCAGCCCAACTCTCAGCTCTGCTCACCACGCCTCCTTCCCCGATTCTCAGCCAATCGCCTCGAACCTACCAGCGTGGCGGCGGGGCCAAGGAAGGAAACAAGACAGGACGAAGGTGGGAGGGACAAAACCGCCACACGAAAAGCGGCGGGAGCCGCTGCAGCAGCCGCCGATTGGCGGCGGGGGAGTGCATGAGACTATAGAAGCTTGTGATTGGAGGAAGAGACGCGTGACGTCACCAGCCTAGGAGTGGCGGGCCTGGACCCCTCTTGAGGGGCTGGTTGCAAAGATCCCGCCCCTCCCCCCGCTGAGCAGTAGCCTGCCCCCTTAGCCAGGACAGGCGGCCTTCACGGGGCCGGGCTTCACAAGTGCGCCTGCGCGATTCCCGCCTGGCGGTAGGTGTCATGAATGATGTATGCCGGGGGCAAGGAATGACCACAGCACACCTCACCCCGGATCTGAAAGGTGATACTCCTAGTACCCGCTCAGCCAATTTTGCCAGCACGGAGTCAGCGATTCTGAAGCACCCACTTTGCTGGCCTGAACATGGTGTGCACAAACCCAGCTCTCGACTCCCAAAACGAACCTTCTGCTCCCAGCTTCGCAAGGGATCTCGTGGCGACTAGAGGAAATGCTACAAGGGCTTGCTGAAGGCTACCTAAAGAGAATGGATGCCCAGGTCAAGAGCAGGAGCCATCTGCTGACCAACTCTAATGGCACCCCAACCTCAACCAAGCAGCAGCCTGTTTAGACCAGTGGTCTCCAACCTTTTTAAATAGATCACTATTGGCATTTAAAAGCAACCCAAGAGCTATCGTGCACTTCCACCCTTCCCCCTGCCCCTGCCCAGCAGGTGAGTCAGTGGGGAGGGAAAGGGGGGCAGGTCAAGGCAGAGGGAGAAAAAATGATTTGGGGGCAGCAGGTAAGTCCCACCTGGCCAGGGCCCCCCCCCCACAATTTATCCCTGCAGCACTGTCCCTCAATGTGGGGGCCTCTTCCCTCCCCGCCCCCCAACGGACTGACCTGTTGGACTGGGGTGCACTCTTGAATGCATGCAAACACTCAACCCAACCCCAGCCTTGAATCGACTCCAAGAGGCTCCAAGATCTACTGATGGACTGAAGTCCCCTGGTTTAGAGGCATCTTCTCTAGCAACCCCCAAGTCAGCTGCTGTTCTCAAAGCATTGGATACTCAGCCATTCCATTTTGTAGACTTACCAGTTTTGGTGATGAGTGGATATAAGAAAGCAAGCAAAAAACCTTTATTTTATTCCATCATAATCATGTAATTCTTATATAATGAGCATGCTGAATTTTTACTAAGAAATTGTACATTAAGCATTTATCTGTAGTATTACTCAGCTCTGAGTGAGCCAGAGTGTATATTTTACACTCAGAATTCTTGTAATATATTTTTTCTTCATTATAAATGTCAAAGATGTCTCAGGCATGCAAAACAAATGTGGTTGTGTATACTGTTAAAAGACATACTGAAACCTGCAGATTCAAAGTAGAATCTTGAAATATTTCAATTCAGATGCAAAGGTAATTGTAAAGCTATACCATGACAAAATAGGAGTTGGAATAGCAGCCATGTTACAGATTTTAACGTGACCTATAAATTATATTTGAGCAATCAGGACTATGCTGCTGTGTTATACAAATGCACCATTTTTTACCTTAAGACCTTAGAAAAATAGGGCTGAAAGAGACTTCAGATCAACTATCCAAGCTTCCTGCTCAAGGAGAGAGAGATCCATCTAAATCATTTCAGCCAAGATTAAGAATATCAATTCTATATTTCTCTGCTTTGGCTCCAGAGACTTATATTATTATTAACCTCCTACTTTTAGAAAGGGCAAGAGCTTCAAATGTTAGGTGGTTAAAAGCTCTTGACAGTGACCAAAAACACTTTCTTTTTTGTTGACCTTTCATAGTTGTAGGCCCTTTAATATAATTCACACCAGACCTGAATTATAATGAGATATTATATATATATGCTCCTTTTCTATCACAAGGCTAATAAACTGTATATAATTTAATTTTCTTTTTAGCAGTCTTCTAGCAGTTACAAACAAGATGTTTTGTGTTCCATATCAACAGCTAATTCTTCTTGTTGAAAAGTATTTAACAAAAACTGTATACTAAACTTTTTTTAAAGGAAAATTCTGTTTGAAGCTCCAGATTAATCCACCACATACACCTTAATCTGAATAAGATGACAGATGGGACACTTGACTCTAACATGCCCCTATATCATACTAGGTGCCTTTTAATTAAATAAAAAAAAAAGCACAATAATCCAAATCTTTTAAAATAAGTTTTATTAATCTACTCAATGACAATTTTAAAAAATTAAATATTTAAATCTTATGCAGTGAGGTGGAAACTTCAAATGACCAAACACTCCAAATTACCATTTTGCTGCAATATGCACAGGAACCGTTTATTTTAGGAGTTACTTCTAATGTGATCCTTGAGTTACAGAACGGTTTCTTGAGAGCATGTTGAACTCTGACAATACATTTCACATATATCAATGTGATATACAAAAAATAAAAATAATTAAAAAAAAAGAAATAAAGAAAAAAAAGAAACTCAAGACCACAACAAACTGAGTACAAAAAATATGGGACAGGCATTTTGAAGTCAACTACTCTGCATATAGGTCTCATACTTAATGCTGCTGGTATTGTGTTGTCATAATTCAAAGGGTATTGGAACAATGAAGCTAGTGTTCCTTTGATGCACAAGCATAAACGTTCAGACTCCAAATACTGTGGTTTGTTTTGCAAAACATGCAAAAAGCCCCCAAATTTTGAAAATCTTCAGAAGGAAAAATGAAAAATGAAAGCAGCTAGAAAATGGAAGCGTTTACAAGCATCAAGTAGGCCCTTTAGAGTTTATTTTAAACAACATGTGTTAAACCCCTTCATTTTCAGGTAAAAGGTTAAGAGGCCGAGAGATATATCGTCTGCGAGGGTGAGGATACTGTAGGTTGGCAGTGTCAGCATCGCAAGAGTGCTCTATCAGAGGAGGAGGAGGTAGGAGCTGGGCATGACTGGACCATCTTGATCCAGCCCGTGGGGAATCCAGAGGGGGAAAGAAATACCTGAAACAATTAAGACAGGAACAAAACACCAAAACAAAAAAGAAAACAAAACAAAAAACAAAAACAGAAGAAAAAGAGAAAAGTAGTAAATACAAGGAGAACCAAAGGGGAGAAAAGACATGCTGGAAAAAAAAAAGCTTTAGTATATCCATGCCAAAACCAATAGAGTGTAATAGCAAAAATCAGGCCCTAATTCAAAACAAGATTCCAGATTTGCTCAAACAGTTCTTTAAAGAAAAGTACATGTTTCCACTCAAAGTATAGAAAAAGTATAATGTGAAAATACTTCTAACAGGCATTTTACAAAGGAATAAGTTACTTTGTAAAGTAAAAAGATTTTCTAGCACAACTATCAACATCTTTCTCTGATGCTCGCTCTCTCCAATAATTCATGCTTATTAACAGAGCTTTTAGCAACACTTCATTTGCAACACCAGGCACACATTAAATAATATGCTGCATTTACATCTAGTTCAATTTAATCTCACTGCACATTTTAAGATAGATGTAAAACCACTGCATTGTTTTTACAACAGTTATCTTTCATAGTATACATCTACAAAGAATGACTATTGTTTCCATGAAATACAATCACTATGTATTTACAGATTTCTGCTAAAGCCTTGGGATAAGATTAAGATTTCCGGTAAACTCAAGTTCTAGGAATTATGCCATTCTTCTACCATTTCTATTATGACTTACCCGTAATATGCATTAATTTATTATAGCTATTAAAATATCTCTAAACTGTATCTGTTGTGTTTATAGCTCTGTGGAGAACATTTACAGAATGCAGAGGCCAAGTAATTTATGAAATTCTGGGACAATCTACATTGGAAGATGACTTTTGATGTTTAATAAATTAGAATGTTGTGCTTAGAAGGAATCCGCGAATCCATGAAATCACAACATAGGGGCATGTGGCATACATCAGAAAAAGTACTTTTTAGTGAGGATGAATAAACTATGACAGTGCTTACAAAACATTTCTTGGAAGTGGTTAAGTTATAAATGTAACATTATCAAACTAATTTAAACTATCATCTGTACAATTGTCAAATCACACTGTTAGCCTTAAAGGAATAAGACAGCAATTTCTGTATATTAAAAATCATTTACAAAGTTGTGATGTTTAGGAACCTTACTTATATAATTAAGCACTATGAAACGTAAAGCAAATAAACACTCAGAACAATTTTAATGAAAATTAACTGACTTTAATGGTCATTAGGCCATCTTCCCCCTCTTCCCATCCCACTTAAGAACAACAATTTTCTTTATAGCAATAAACTAGTTCTTTAATTTCATGAATTTTCCAGGAAAAAAAAACACCTGTCTTGGTGGAAATTTGTCTCATCAAGAAGCCTCTCCAATTATCTTTCTTTCTGAAGTTCCAACATTATCAAACTTTGCTGGCTAATACAAAAAGGTATACAAGATTTTTTTAAAGGCCTTTTTGCGTTTAGTAGTTAGCAGGCTGCTGGTGTCTTGGGAGAGGTCAAACGGCGTTGGGGAAGGGAAAAAGGAGTTCATTTTCCATTCCTGTGTGCATGCAACAAGCAGCAAAACAGCAAAGTTACTCCAGTTAGCTTGGTATCAGCTCTGTTTTCTGTTAAAAAGGACATAATACAAATGGAGAAGGGAAAATGTATCACAAATCTAGACACACATTATCAGTACAAATAAGAACACAGCACTACTGAGTGTAGTTTTTTCCAGTAATTTTAATTTTTCAGTCATTCCAAAATAATTTTGGTCACTAACTTGGTTGAACATAAGGATTTTGACACATTTAATCCTCAGAAGATTAAAATCTTGTTATAGGTTAAATCCCTCTTTAGTGTTTAAAACATACTATCATTGAAAGTCACTACCTAAAGATACAGATTACAAGCTATTTAAGTCTGCATTTGACTGTATTTGCTCACATACCACATGTATCTTTTCCCAAAATATTAGCCTTCCAAAATTAGGTGCATGTCTTCAGCAGGGAAGCTGATTTTTTGCTCAGAATAGCAGCAGTTGCATTTCTATTCAGGCAGGCTTTAGGGAGTCAACTGATTTCATGGCTCACTTTATTCCTATTAATTGCTCCTCACTAAGCAGGTATTAATGATTCACTCTTTTTTTTAAGAGGCTTGATCAAGCAATCCTTTCTTCAGCAATTTTGGTGCCAAATTTAACTACTCCTGGACTCTCAGTTCCTATTTTACCCTGCAGACTGTTTTTAGCTTATTTCAAAATCCTTGGTCTGCCCATGGAGTCCAGACTTCAGCAGCAGCTATAGTTTCAAGCTTGTGCCTGAGCATCCAAAAGCTACTGAAAATTCAGTTGTGAAAGGATTAACACTGCAGCTTTTGCCTAAACAGGAAAGGGAGGGTGGGCTAGCTGAAAATGAGGCTGTGTTCCTGCTGCCTATGGCCATAAGTCTGGGGTGGGAGAAATTATTTTTTCCTACATTCTGCCTTCCCAAAAAGCAATGGGCATGTGTGATCTCATCGGGGGGGGGGGGGG